TCCGTCCAAAGAATCAACTTCTCCTATGCTAGATCCTTCTTCCGCATAAAATGATGATTCTGGCGAGATGCTTGATAGTTCCGAACTCGATGTTGATAATGGCGTGCCATATCGAAGATCTGGCATAGACATAGTATCATAAGGCGTATTCTCTGGAAGGATATTTAATGGCCGGTGATCCGTAATAGGCATTTTTTCTGATGCTCCCTTTGGGAATTCTTCTTTTTTCTTGGTACTACTGAGCCATTTTTGCAATGATAATTGATGAACGATAGATGGTAAATCTTCCTGAAACATTGTTCTCAATCTTTTTTCGATTTCTGACTGCAAAAACCTTTGTATGCTTGAAATGCTGTCAAAAGTTGAAGTAACATCGACCTTTTCCAAAGGATCATTTTTGAAAACTAATGTGATCCCTTTTTGCTTGCTAACTACCAAAACGATGATACCTCGTAGTTTCAAGTTGCTTAACCTTAGAAGCATAGGTACTACAAGCGGCTGATCCGCCGCAAGAATTCCCCTTCTAGTATACATGCTCAAATCATATTTATTGCTATTCATCGGATTTGCCTGGCCAAGGAAAAAAATTATCATCAAAATAAAATCAAATAAAATAAAAATAAAATCAAATAAAATAAATAAATAAATACTATTCTGCAGACTTTATACCTGCACTTTTGTTTGTAAAGTTAAATGTGCGTCACCACTGTATATTAATTTAAATATTCCTCTAAATTTATCAACTGCTAATTCACAAATTTCCATAATCTCCAACTCAGGCGGCTGGGATATAAATGAGTTAAAAAGGTAGATAATATCAGTTTCGTATTCTTTAAAAATAGGCGAATATTCTATGTAGACTCCTTACTTCAGTATGAATGACTTGTTACCTTTGTTCCCATGTTCAAGTCTTTGACGACTATAGGATCCACTATATTCACTGGTTTACTGCTTTTGTTAAGAGCTGTCGTTAAAAGTTGTTTAGCTTGCTCCACGAATTCTGTGGTGAATTCTGGCCAGCTAAATTTAAAAGACATACTTTGAAACAATCCTTTGCCTCAGAAAGCAAATAAAATTACGATCATCTATGAAAGTCATCTGGTTGAGATTATAGATAAATTCCAATCTAATGCGAGTAATATAGGAAAATTTACACGTGCATTTCAGTATCATGTGATCAAGTGATACATGTTGGTTACCCGATTTTCTTTACTTAAACATCTCTTAAAAGTTTAAAAAACACTATATAACTGTGAATTGTTTTTTTTTTTTTTTTTTTTTTTTGATGATGTCGATTGGGTGAATCAGATGGAAACGGTTTGAATAACCATAGCGGGCTAGGGTTAATTGTTTCAATTCTTTACTATATATCCTAAAAATTCTGAGCTCACTGTTCAAATTTCTAAAATGCATCCTAATTTGGGCACTGCACTATTCGCAATTTCGGATTCAATCTTAATGTTCAATAATCAAATTATACTTGATCTTATAATTTAATTAGTAAGCGTTAATACTAAGGCCGGAATAATTTGAAGGCTTGATGGCGTGAAGAGTATTTTCTAATCCTTCTAGCGCTAGGATAGATTAATGGAGCAACCAAAATTCAGCAGACCGACCAAAATTTAGGGTCGGAATAGGCCCGGAGCTAGGCTGGCATTAAGTAATAATACAAGTCAACTATATTACAGCAAAATTATCATCTGGGCAGCTTTACTTAGTACGTGGGCTACCATTTCATTAGTAAAATTTTG